GGTGTCTGTGTTGCCAAGGTTTTCAATCTCCTTTAACATTCCTAAGGAAGTACAAGAAGAAAAAACCTGCCTAAAGTCCCCTAATGCAGGCACCACTCCTGCACATGCCTCCAAGAAGGCCTTGATCCATAGCGCACCCCCAGAATCTATGTCTGGCATGCGGGATTTGATCATAGCGGTATCCTGCAGAGAGAATGGAGTGTAAGAAGAGGCAATGCGCCCACTAGGTGACGTGGTAGTAGTCAAAGGCATTTGAAACCATGACCTGGCAGAGTGTGGAGACTCAAGACACGAGTGAACATTTCCAAGTGTAGGTTTATGTGAAGGTGATGGAAAGTTAGTAGTGGCTGCTATATGTGAACTTAATGCCGAGACCAACTCAGAAATATTGGAGTTGCCTGTCTGGCCTTCTGTATTGCTAACACAGTCTGGTGTAGGTGACAGAGCAACTGAGCATGTGACAAAGGAAGAGTCAGTTGGTGTCTGTTGTCTATGCTCAAACAAACCATTGTTCACCTGGGCGGCACTGTCATTAAAGGGCTGGTGGTTAGTCAAAGTTGCCACCTCATCTAAGCACCCAGCTGTTTCTGTCTGGGAATTGGCATCACCTGGGAAGGGGACAGTCTGGAGCAGGCCATTTTTGATGACCACCAGGGAGCCGGTCACAGGTGTGCACACTTGATTAGTTTGTGCATGAGTTTGTGGCAATTGTGGTTGCACCTGCAAAGAGGTTAGCAAGGTTTGGGCGTCACTGTATGGAGGAGGTGGAGCAGTGGCAGTATTTGTTTGATAAATTCTGAACAAAATCAGCCTTGGGCATAAGTGGTTGTGTCACTGGAGCATCAGGAGTTGTTGCTGGCATAGGAGGAAGCACAGCTGTGGGCGTCTGCTTTGAAGATTGGGTTTGTAGAACATTTTTAGTTTCAGGCAAAAAACACTGACAGTTAGTTAGGAAAGTCTCTGCTTCCTCAACTTGTTTGGTAACTTTTCCTTTTTGCCATTTTCCTGTATTTTGAAGCTTCATTTTATACTGCTCTACACTCATCATGGCTTGTTTTAAATACCGACCAAACTCACTGGTTTTAGGTGCCTCACAGTCACAACTGCCAAACATGCCTCTGTGTTGCATGTCTGCTACCCATTTTCTGTATCTAGTTAACTCCCTTTTTTCATTCCCTTTTAATAATTTCCTTTTCCAGTTCAAACCAGTGTCATACAAGACTGATCCTAAAGTACCGTATTTACAATCCTTCCATTGTTCCAGTATGTTTTGTGACATGATGGAAAAAAAAAATATACACACATATTTACAAGTTCAGTGAATGGCACAGCACCCTAGTGGCAGATCCGACAGAGAAGCTTCTACACAGAAATTCTGTGCACTCCACCATTGAGGGTAAACCAAACCAACCACTCGTTTTAATTCACCAAACAAGAAATACCTTCAATGCCCCAGACACAAAACTACTTGTGAATTGTGGTTTCAATGTAGGAATTTTCAAACTCAAGAGTTTGATACACTACATGTTCACTGAAAAGTTCTACAAGTAGGAAGCCAGCCCACACATATGGAAAATAACAAAGTTATCCCTGTGTCCTTATTGTTTTACATCATATCAATTGTCAGGTTTTACCCGGGGAAGGGAATTCTCCTTTTTAATGCACCAAATCCTTTTAACCAGGAACTCAGAGAGACGACACGGACCACTTGGATATATAAAAAATAACCGTGCTGGTTTATTCAAAGGATCACAGGTAAAATTAACATTACACGTCCAGGCATCTTCCACCTCCAATACTGCGCGCAGGCAGACGGAGAATGAAAAAAGACCCTGAACCCCAGATCTCTATACAATTTATGTGGTTTGGGCTAACCCCATGCTACACAGGCACGTCAAACCGTGACGTCACCTGATATGCCAGCTTCACAGCTGGCCGTAGCAGTAGTCAAAACATGGAGAGAATCAATGTGTGTGTGAGTGTTGATCATGTGGTGTGTAGCTAAAAACATACAGGACATTCAGGGACATGTCCGAACAGTAAGCCTCGGAAGATATTATGATTAAGATTAGATTCTGTTATAAAAAACCTCTTACTCATGCTTCAGACATGAGTGAACAGTTCAAGCCCGTCAGACTTCACGTCTGTAAAATAGCATAAATTAACAGTATCTTATCTATCGTTTCCAGAACGACACTTATATGTGCAATCTATTCTTGCACAATTATCCAAGAAGATGAGAAATACTACAAGTTGACTCGAAGCTGAAAATTATAACTATAATGCATGTATAAGAGCCAGGTTAATACTGATACATGGTGCTGTTAATGAAACACAGACAGTCATACTAAACTCTATCATTATAAAAGCAAAATAATACTAACAGTAAATAAAACAACTGTAACTCCTGAAATCCAATCCTAACACTCAACAAACAAATGGAAAATGATGACCTCTGCAAAGAAAGAGTAGGCCTGTACAAGGAAAATGAGGCCCTAAAGAAAGACATTCAGGCTGAAGAAAAGAAAAATGAAAGGCTCCGCACACAGAAAGCGGGCCTTTGCAATGTAAATGAGGCTCTGAAAAATGAGATGTTGGCCAAACAAAAGAAAGTTGAAGCTCTCCTCGAAGAGAAAGCGGGCCTGTGCAATGAAAATAGGCTCTGAAAAACGAGATATCGGCCAAACAAAAGAAAATTGAAGCTCTCCCCGAAGAGAAAGTGGGCCTGTGCAATGAAAATGAGCTTCTGAACAGTGAGCTGCAGGTCAAACAAAAGAAAATTGAAGTTCTGATGGAAGAGATACAATACGAACAAATGAAAAATGATGGCCTTCACCTGCTGTAAGTACATCTGTCCAAGAGAAATGAGGCATTGAAAAGACATAAGACAGCAATTATGAAAATACTTGAAGCTGAGGAAAAGCATCACAATGAAAAGAGAGAAAAAATATATAATTTGAATGCACAGGTACGTGATAAGGACAAAAAGGTTGTGGACATTAATAAAACTCAAATAGTGAATTACACTATTATTAGAGTTATCTTGGTCTGCTAGCTTTTTTCAAAGCTAGCAGACAAAGATAACTCTAATCAGCAGGCAGCTGTAGAGCCAAGGAAACCCCTTAGTGATACGCTGGGAGATGATAGGTAGAAATTCACCCCAGTATCTCTAAGAATTATGTCCATATTGGGTGATTAGGCATTTCACTATTTTCACCTGATGCTAAAGTAGCATAGAAACATAAGATGCAATGCCTGCTTAGTAAAACAAACAACAAAGTCAACAGATATGATATACATTTTAGATTTACCGACTTACACTTTCAGAGAATTTCGTTATCCCAGATGTCCACAGGCAAGTGCTAGTAGCAGATTCGATGTACTTACTGTCATGAAATGTAAACAAATATAGGCCCAAAAAAAAAAGACTGATGCACACCACAGTGTAACTAACTGAATCCATGGCCATGTAATTCCTGTTTCTTGTACATGTTGAGTTTCTATTTGCTCATTAAAGTGAAGACTAATAATGCCTAACCCAACATTATCCAAAAGAGCTGATAAAATCACAGCATAGCATAATTGATGTAAACCAACTAGACATCAGGGCAAGTTATTTGACTGACAGGTAATTAGCAAATAATAATTTGATATTGGAGGAGGGTGGAACATATCTGCATTTGATTGGATTGCATCTGAAGTAGGTTTATTGAGTGAACTGCTGTTTAACGTTTGTTCCATGTATCTATGCCTGTGCTGATACCCGGTATTCTCTGAATTCAATTAGCCAAGCTACTTATAAAATAAGGAGTGACATTTTGTCAACCCCTATCATAAACTTAACCAAAGCATAAACATAGAGGCAGCAGATCAGAAAAAGTCTCTTTGGGTTATTTTGAAAGGCCTGTTTTGTTAAATATAAGGATTCCGTTTTAATGTTTGTCAGCAGATAGAATTTATTCCTTACTTAAACGTTTTTCATGTTGGAAAGGCTTACTGCAAAGAGACTGACACAAAATTACTATATGTGCTGGGAGGATTTCATTGTAGCTGGAAATTGGTAGATGGTGCACTTATTATATGGAAGGGGGAAATGTTCTGATTTAATATTCTGTGAGATGTAATTATAATGGACATAAGAAGATAAATTAGTGGCATGCTTTGGGGGTGTAAGTGGGGGGTAGGAGAAGAAACTGCTGGTTGGGAGGCGAACAAGACTGACCAACAGATCAGCCTCCTCCTCATCTTCAGGAAGCTTCAGGTACTACGCCTCTGATGATTGTTCAGTCTTGTTGGTTTCTAAATGCTTGTTTTAGATTAAGTGAGATTTGGATATGGAATAGATAAATGCTGTTTTTCTCTTTCCAGGAGCAGCTGGAGAACAGCATTAAAAGGAGAAAGAGGAGGAGCAGAACGAGAAAGATGAGAAAGAAAAAAGAAAGTCGTTTATTGCACATCTCTCACACTCGTGGTTAAATAATGCAAAGTAAACTCTCAGTCAAGCACAAGTAGGTACATCTTTGATCTTGTTTTAAAGGGGTAAGACAGTGAGTTTGTGTTACAGTTCCACAAAGTTGGGCTTCCAGGAAACAAAATACTTCCATACCACGGAGAGGCGGAGTTGAGGGATATGACAGAGGACGTTGGTGCTGGACAGATTACAGTCTGCTGTAGTTCACACCTTGCAAGAAGGAGCTGCAGGGAACGGGACAGCGTAATGCAAAATAGCGCCCGAAGCCGTGTGTGTGAATCTGTCTGCTTGTGTTCGGAAAAGTATCAAAAATAAGAAGGGCAAAAAACGAAAGAGGACACGTACAGACAAATACCCACGGGAGTGAAACAGTATCAAGTTCCACGTGATTTTACACACAAGGAGCAAGGCTCTAAGGATAGAGATGTGTCTGTCGGCCAGTGGTTTGGTTCATCTCTCCACTTGGGTCCAAACTGAAATGTCTCAACAACTATATTATGTTTTACAATGACATTTTCAACAGACATTCATGTTGCCCTCTGAGTTTAGTAGTTCCCCGACTCTTCCACTTGAACCGCGGGTCAAAACGTTCACTTATCCAGTTAAATATATCAGCATCTACAAGATGGAACAGGACAAACTTTTTATTGACTTTTATGATTCCCCTAAAGCTGAGTAATCCCCTGGTATTTAACTATGGTAGGAATTAGAATGTTCTTTTACACTGCTTGCTTATAGGGTGCATCTGGTCACGTGAACATGGTATTAGCCAATCAGAATACCAGCCGTAGGTCTGCGCGATACGATGGGGATTGTCCGATGTGACGTAGTGCGGGAGGCGTTGGCCATTGCGGTGCTATGTGCTCTGGAAACCTGACAGGGACGAGAAGACGCCCTTTGAAATAATCTTTGCATCCAGGTTAAATATTTAAAACGTACTCTTCCTCTTGTTTTTCTTGGTATTACCACTAAGCCATTTGCCCGGTCCTGTCGAAATGATCAAAAACGGTCACCACGCCACCTACGACCAGCGGGATGAAGCCAGTGGCAGTAAGCCAGTTGTCTCGGGATGCAGCCCGGAGAAAAGGAAGCGTGTCGTCCGGTTGTGGTGTGACGGCTGGTGAGTCTCTGTGTCCACCACTGACTTACTGTCGATCCTGCTTTATTAAAGTCATTAACACAGCGTATTGTCTTATACCGAATCACATGGAGCAAATATGGGTTAGGATGCTATTACTAGCTAGCTACTGACATTAGCAGTAGCTTAAGTAAACTTAGCAGCAGGAGTTTAAGTAGCCTACTTTGTTGTCTATATAACATTATACCCTGATGGTTACAGATAAAGTCACTTCGTCTCAAGATATCTTAACTGTAGTTATTGTCTCTCTACAAAAAAATATTTTTATATATGCTAGCAGTTCAACCCAGATAATTAATGAGTTGTAAAGGCTGCACTGCTGAACAAAAGTGCGCGGTGTTCTTCTACTTGTCAGTTTTTATGGCACAGTCGCGTGGGACACGTTGGGGACAAGGTTCCTTTTCTCTGCACCATCTAACAACCTCAAAGCCCTGCTGAGGTTATGAATGATGTTTTTAAATGTGTGTGTGAAACCATAACGTTACCAAGATGGAACAGAAACTATGGTTATTTTAAGGACTGGACACCCTGAAGATTAAAACTCTGTGAAGCGTTAATGCTGCATGCACAGATGTTGGAGATGCTAGTTGTCAACGCAGTGAAACCCAAACCACGTCTGTTGTATCCCTTCCTCCAATATCTCATTTGAAATTCTTCAGAAACTGGCTGCGTTGTCTTGTATAGACTCAAGGCAGTGTTTTCTGTGATGTGTGGACATTTATTTACTGTCTCTGTCACGAGGTAGACATCTCTCTGTCTTAAACTGTGCTAACACTTTGTTACATTACGGTAATACCATGACCCTCACGTTATTTAGCTGCAGCTGAAGAGGCAGCTGACTGATAATATTGCAATACATTAACTATTTCCTGGACTGAGTCACTGCACATGGAACTGGCCGGGTTGCTGATAGCTAGTGTGACATAGTCCGTCATGTTGTGGTTATAAATATCTAACACAGTGAACATGTTGTTCAGCATGATGCAAAAGCAGTTTGCATCATGAGCCCCCCTCGTTTGGGGTGCTCAAATGGGGACCTAGTGAGGTACAGCATATATTTAATGACGGACGACATGTAAAACACGATGGAAGGAAAGGGAAGAGGTGAAATATAATAGTTATTTTGGCAGCAGATAAGTAAAACCTCAATTCTTTTATCAGCTTCAGCAGTGTTATTGTAGTTCATGACATATCTAGGCCATCTGCAAAAAAGTCAGAAGTAGGTTGTGTGATCAGTTACTGCTTTCATTAACAATACAGTATCTATTGATTGTTTGATTGATCTATCTACAAATACACAGTATGTATAAATCTGTGGACTTTCAAAACTGTAAATTATGTTTTGTTAGGGCTTTGTGACTAATTAAATGTCACATATCATTTAGTTGATTGACAGTTATAAAATGTTTACATAGTTGTAGCTCAGGCAGTACTGCAGAATGATCACAGAGCCAACACTCGTATGTATACTTGTCAGTCTCTGGAAAACAGGATTACAGCTGGGAGGATAAGTGACTAGCAGCTTGTAGTAATTTCATTATAGTGGACAGGTAATTTATTGAAGCGGTCTGATAACCTGGCAATAACCTGGAGGCATGTTAACAAAGGATAGGATAGGTTCAGGAATTTTCAAGCTGGTCTTCAGACAGTCTTGACCTACCCATATGTAGAGTTCGCGGTTCAACTTGGGCAGTCCTGATGTATGAATGTTTGTAGCTCTAAGAAGATGAAGCCGCAGGGTGCCCAACAAAACCTGAACAAACTTGACTGGAGATTGAGCAACATTCTGTGTATTTAAACCCATAAATAAATAAATATCATTGACTTTGTCCATTTCTTTTTTCTTTCTTTCTTTTTTTAGATCAGATAAGCCTTTAAATATGCTGCAGTAAGGGAACAGACCTCTCAAATACATGGTTTGACTGTAGAAGTTACTGAAAAGTAGAAAGCAAACAAATGTTATCACATAATACACGTAATCAATGTCTGTGACCGTCACCTTTCTCTCAGTAACCTTTAGTGTTTTTACTTGATATGTTAGAGGTTCTTCCATCTGTGTTTTTGGATATTACACACTACTTTTCTGTGCAAGGTCAGAGTAAAAAGAAAAAAGTAGTAACAGTTAAACAGTCAAAAAAGCAGAACTTCCCAGTCAGAACTGTCCTGCGAAGCTGTGTTTGAACGACACTGATGCTGTGGAAGTGCTAAATGTGAATTGTTACGTGTTTACATTTGTTTTACTCTATTATGGCCCGTGTACTCTTTTTGTCTGAGCACTTACATTAACTATTGTTTTCCATGCTAATGATATTGCTGCCTGTTTTTCTGTCTCCACAGCTATGACATGGTGCACTACGGTCACTCCAACCAGCTGCGGCAGGCCAAAGCCATGGGAGATTACCTCATAGTTGGAGTCCATACAGATGGTAAGACTGCCACACATGCTCTGATAGTTCTGTGAACACCTTTTACTTTTGGATCCACTGGTTTGAACACTGGGTTCTGACTGACTGTTAGTTATGTACTGATAATAAGTGTTTAATTCCCCAATCGTTTGTCACAGCGGAGATCGCCAAGCACAAAGGTCCTCCAGTCTTCACCCAGGAAGAACGCTACAAGATGGTGCGGGCGATCAAATGGGTGGATGAGGTGGTGGAAGGAGCACCCTACGTTACCACCCTGGAGACTCTCGACAAGTACAACTGTGACTTTTGTGTGCATGGAGGCAAGTCTCTTACAATCTGCTCTTTGAATCCTGTTTCACGTCAAGAACTCATCAGTGTATCATCACTTGTGTATGATTATGTTGCTGATGACAGACTTGTCGTTGTTATGTTTATCAGATGACATCACGCTGACGGTAGATGGTAAGGACACATATGAGGAGGTGAAGCAGGCAGGCCGCTACAGGGAATGCAAACGCACACAGGGTGTCTCTACCACAGACCTGGTGGGACGTATGCTTCTCATGACCAAAGCCCACCACAGCAACATGGTGTGTTTGTGAATCTATATTCAGTGTTTCGACAATGGTTGTTTTGCTGTTTGTCTCATCTGTTCCTCTCTACTAATTTCTTCAGGACAACCCAGATTACCAGCAGCATAAAGACAACTTTGGAAAGGTGTGTTACTATAAATCTGTCATGTAAATAAATGGTGATAGTCATTACACATAGCCTTTGCCGCATTGTCCCAGTGATAAGAATGGGTCATTGTGATTTACTACAGCATATTATGTTGTATTCAAGGGTCCTAAAGGCCACAGTCCATGGACAGGAGTGTCTCAGTTTCTCCAGACATCACAAAAGATCATCCAGTTTGCCTCAGGCAAGGAGCCTCAGCCCGATGACACCATCATCTACGTGGCTGGAGCATTTGACCTCTTCCGTATCCTTAGCATGTAGAGGTAACCAGAACTGACTTATGGGAAACAATACTTCTGCTGTGTACATTGTGGTCTTTGCCTTCACTGCAGAATCTTCACAGACATCGGACATGTTGACTTCTTAGAGATGGTCTATAAACAGGCAGAGAGGCCCTACGTCATCGTAGGTCTGCACTTTGACCAGGTACGCCTGATTACGCACTTGCACATGCATATCTTAACAACACATTCACACAGGGATGAGAAATTCATGCCTCCCTGCTGAGTCAGTGGCCCCTTTTACACTGCCCACTCGATGCGGCAGCTTTCTTCCAGCTTTTCACTGCTTTAAAGATACAGTATGGGGGGGGTTCAAGGTTGGCCCTTCACCATACCGCAATGACAGGTAGCATTTTTGAAGAGATGATTTGCTCTGCCTCCTGTATAAATGACTTAAGGCCGAATGGGGGTTGCTACAATCTCTGTGTAAAGGGGGCTAGTGGTTTAGAAACATCTGGAACAAAGATGTAATGGTTAGACAAAAAATAAAGCCGCCGTAACTGTTTACTGTTTTTCTCGTCAAGGAATGCATGCTCACGCTACTTTTAAGTTTGCTGTATTTTCTGCTTTTTGTGAATGTAAAAGGAAAAAATGCTAAAGTAGTCACTGACCTCTTCACTCTTTTCAGGAAGTCAATCGATACAAGGGAAAGAACTACCCAATCATGAACATTCATGAGAGAACACTGAGTGTCTTGGCCTGTCGGGTGAGTTCACACTGTCTTTGTGAGGACATTCATTGACACAGTGCCTTCCCTATCTCCTAACCCTAACCCTTAACCCTCAAAAAGGTGTTTCAGAAAGTGAGGACTTGCCAAAATGTCCTCACAGTGTCCCCACTCTGTAGCAAAAATACCTTTTGGTCCTCACTATTCTTTTATTATATTGCTGCATTTGTTGCTGCTTAAAGTGCCTTAGATTTTGTGTTATTTATCTACTTTATATTTCATTTGTGTTTTGTGGCATTCATGTGGACGGCAAAGTAAGAATTTCATTGTACAGGGAAACACGTTTCCTAACTGTGCATATGACAAAATAAACACTTTGAACTTGAACTTTGAGCTCACTATATAGCAAGTAGAAGGGCACACGCGCGCACACACACAGACTGAAGACTGTTCAGAATAGAGCGATATGTTTCTGACTTGCACACTTACTACGCTGCAGGCTGGCTCTGTGCACTTCTTTCCTGCTGGTCAGCTATCAGTCTAGCACAGCGAGTCTCTCTGCTCCCAGCTGCACTGTGTGTGTTTGTGTGGCAATTAAAGCAGAATGTTACACAACCCTAAAACTGCAGAACTGCTGTGCTTTGTGGTCAGTTTTCCTCAAGGCCTGTTGACAAGGTACTGAATGTACCAGAGGCAGCAAGCAGTAATGACGTTTATGTAAATGTGCACTGACGTGAAACGGTTAATAATTAGAGAATTCAACTCTGTCTCGCTAATGTCCTTTCTCTCTATAGTATGTGTCAGAGGTGGTGATTGGTGCACCCTATGCAGTGGACAAAGACCTGCTGGATCATTTTAAGGTAAGTTGTGTGGCTTCATGTTCAGTTGTGTCATTATTATTGTATTTATTTAGACCTGTCTAATAAGGATCGTCCCCTCTTTGCACTTTCACTAGTCCAAAAGACTCAGACTTTACACAAACTAAAGCTGTACATTCAAGCAATTGCACTGTCACAATTCAGTCCTTAAGTTGTCTGTTAACTTTGCATTTACTGTATTATGGAGACAAGTGTTGTCATTTCATACTTTGCTGCAGTTCATTTTAAGCAAGCATGGTTGTCCACATTAGTGCACACTTTGACATACTGTACGTTGTTGTATGTAAATATGAGGAAACATATGGTGGAAGCTGCTGATGCCCTTATCAATAAAGAAGGGTGTTGGCACATTTTCTAACGTAGACCACATCCTCATCACAGCCAGTGAAGGGTGAGTTTAATGGCACAAGTATAAGCAAAATGAAGCATGTGCATTTTCAGGTAAAGATTCTGTACAGTGGCACCTCCTTGTGGACAGCTGATTACAAAGGTCTTTTAGAAAGCAGTTAATAAACTGGTTAACAGCATTAAAGACATACTCAGTATGACCAACTTTTTCTTCAGACAGTGATCCACAGTTTAAAAATCCATAGATAAGTCAAGAAAAAAGTGCTACATCACGCTGATGTCATTTGATACTCACGCACTGTTGATACCTAAAGTTTGTCTTCATTCTATTTGAATAGTGTGCTACTATTAATTTAAAAAAAAAAGACAAAGTTAATCACAGGTTTACCTCGACGATCCTGAGGGTAGTAATACTTGTGTATATGCAAAGTAATAAGGATCTGAAAAGCACAAGCTTTTTCAGCAACAAGCTCTGCTGCTCCCCAGTCAGTATTTACAACTTGAATCTCTCTACACCTGGTGGTGGTTTGTGTAACTAGGTGTGTTTGTATAATCATGCAGGTGGACCTGGTGTGTCATGGAAAGACAGAGGTGTTTCCAGATAAGGATGGCTCAGACCCCTACGCTGTGAGTACAGCAGTGTACAGTCACTGATGTTGCTGTACTGCATTTATATGTTCTGAGATCACTTCCAGTTTCAAATATCACTCTGCTCTTATTTAAACTGAGGCAGTGTTGGTGCTGTGGCTGCTTTGAATGTTTATCTCTGTAGCCTGCACAAACCACTTTTACAGTTACAATATTGCCACAATTACTGCTTAAAATGTGCAGTTAAATCTGCATTGTGTAATTGCCTACTGAATCCCAGACCTGAGCTTTTGATGATCTGGATTTTTAGTTGTTGCCCAAGACCAAATGAATAGATTCTGCTGCATGTATTACATTTTGACAGGACATGTAGGGAATGATATGTGTCACTGCTCCATTTAGGTTCTTACATAAGTGTCCTGCTTGGCCTCTGTGGGCACTGTGGTGTTTAATTGTCCCTGTGTAGCACATACCTTATTATTTTCTCAGGGATGGATGTTTTTGCTCCATTCTGGCGCTTTTGACTGTTGTCCTGTTAAATATGACTCTGTGTATCTTTGTGCCAGGAGGTTTTAATGACCATGATAATTTGGCGACCTCTAGTGAGCATAGTAAGTACTACACAAAGCAAGGAGGAAATGAAGCAATGTACTTTACAGAAAAAAACAAACACAAAACTTTTCCCCGGGCGAGCAGGGTTCATCTCCAATGTGTAACATGTCATTTTCACCTAATGGAGTAGTTTGTGTGTCCAAATGTAAAGAAACAGTGACCATTTGAGAATCGTAACGGTATGTTTATGAGAGTTTCCATGATGATAGCATTCCAGTACACTTGACACCCTGTTAATGTTCCATGAGAGCAAAAGTCTGTAATGCCTACCAGTGTGACATATGTTGTTGTTAATATTGGTGGAGTTCTTGCCATCCTGCCAGCGCAGGAGCGTTATTTCAGGAGCTGCTCCCGTGTATGCGAGGGAAGGGACCAGTGACTGTATGGGTCATATAGGTTGGAGGATTTGTTGGTTCTAACAGAATCAAGGCTGGACCTCGTCATTTACAGGGGATGACGGGGAACTTAGAGTTTGCTTGGTCTGACAAAGACAGTGTGTGTGTTGTGCCCTCAGGAACCTAAGAAAAGGGGGATATTCAAGGTCATTAAAAGTGGGAACAGTCTGACCACTGATGACATCGTCCAGAGGATCATTGAAAACAGGTTGGGGGAGTCCTCATTCCTAGTATAACTTGTACTTTCTTATTATCTCCATGTGCTTTTTACTTTTCTCTGTCTCTTTTCACACTATGATTTTTATGTTTTGTTTTTTTTTTCTCAAGTTTGTTCGTGTCTCTTTTCTCCTTAACAGGCTGCATTTTGAAGCCAGAAACCAGAAGAAGGAGGCCAAGGAGATGGCAGTGATCGAGGCCATAAAGAAGAGAGAGCAACGGGAGCAGCAGAGTGAAGCTGCAGCCCAGGCCGCTCACTAGTGAGACCTCACACTGGGTCCAGCTGGTTACTCATCCTGGAACACTCAGTTTTAAGAGGATGAACTCAACTGACCCAGATGGATGTCCTGAACTAGACCTGATTGGTGGAACGATCCAGGGAGAGGGGCAACAGTTGCTATCCACTTTCATATATAAGGACTACATCAACCTACTGTAAATGGGTTTAGAATAGATCTGCCTTGACAAGAGCACAGAGAGTTCAGACTCCTAACACGTGCTGTGATTTTAACCTGCAGAATCCCTTTACACCTCTCGTCCTCAGAGAACTACGCTTTCTTAACTTCTGTCATGTATTGATTGTTTCCTTGAATTTACACGCTATGTGTCCTCTTTTAGGTGGTGGAAGTGGTATGTTAAGTTTGTAATTATCATTAACTTAAAATTTTAACATTATTGTCAGTTATGTTTTTAGATTGTAAACTTAATTAGATTTTAATGATCAGAAGTGTCATCACTGATGTTGACCAATGCCTCTTTTCAATAATGTAGAGTCGTATTAATTTCACTGTTGCCCATCCTAAAGAACAGAAGTCTTGTGGTAAATTTTAGCTACCTGAATTTGCACTGAGCATGTGTGTTTGTGTGCGAGGGAGTGAGCTGAATTAGTTTTTGCAATGTAAATTACAGTAGTGCCTCATTCCTAATGTTATAACTGATATAAAGGCTGTGAATCACATCAGAAAGTCTGAGTTAGTGCAGTGTCTCGACAGCTATCGGTCAGGTTGTTTCAGAAAATTTGAATGTCTGCTCCTCTTTGTCACAAGACATTTCTGAAGATTTGGGACCCGGTTTCACAGTCAAACTGTTGAAGGTTACTGTCTTTTGTTTTGGGTTTTTTTTATGTTGGGACTGTTACTTGGACAAGAATGGTGTGAGACATTGTGTTTTTAAAGTGTGCTTCTGGGTTGAAAGGTCAGATGCTAGCATCCTGAGAAAAGAATTTTTGCCATTCACTCACTTGCAATTGCACCCATGTCCCCTTATTAATAAATCGGTAATATGGCGACGTGTCATCTGATGTTTGTAGCATAATGTGTGCAGCCTTGGGGGCAGATTTCTGTTGGATCAGCACACAGTCACAGTTCACTGAGTCGGTGAAATGAGGCCATAGCTGCTCAGAAGCGGCTCAGCGCAACTGCTCCTTTTCCATTTGTTCACGCTGCTGTCACCAGCACAAAGAGCCTTTCATCTTCCAACCCGAGTGCCCTGGTGGAGCCTCTGCATGAAGAAGCCCACCTCCTATCTGATGACAGACCATGGTCTTTTTCATGGAGTGGAACATGCATTTTGTCTGAGCCGTTCCAATGTACAATATGTTTATATTGCTCCACATTTTAGAGACTGAATTGGTTTAAACCTTATTTTACACAGGGGCCTGTTGAGGGCCCGGGGAGACAGTGTGGGTTTGAATGTACACTGGTCAGAGAGAAATGACAGTAATAATGGAACATTTTTACTTAGTAATTACCTGAGTGCAGTGGGTGTATGAAACCCCTAAGGGATGATGAGATGAGGGTGACCAGTGGACTGACTGGGTAAGAAAGAAAAAAGTCACCACAGAACTTTGTTTTTATTCTTGTGAAATGCGCCTCTAAATCCCTCAAATAAATAAAATCCCAGTGTAATACTGTGTATTTATTTTTAGCAGGAAAAGCAGCAGCAGAGCAATCAAAACTGTTTAGAAACTCCTTTCATTTTGTCTCATGGGGACAAGGAATAATAAAATATAAGGACAATAAAAGCAAAACACAAAGTAAAATGTTAGAGAAAAACATGCTTCCTAGTTAAGCCCTGGGTGATGGAGCAAATATTTTGCATTTAGCAGACGATAGTTTGCCGACATTTGCCAAAATGTGTTGGATTTTATTGAAGATGTCAGTATATGTAGAGATAAAGGATTCCACACCATACTTGTTATTAAAAGCTGGTGTGGGTTTCAGTTCACTGTGATGGCTGGCAGACTTTTTAGTTATGCCTGGGCACAAGAATACAAAGTAAAGACTGGAGAAGGCATTTAGTGTGTACATTACACCGTAACAGAATAACTCCCACCACAGGTGTCCATGTTATTTTTTTACTTGTCTGACTGAAATTTTTCTGAGGACTGAGTGGGTGTGCTCACTGTGGGTTTGCTTGGACAACATCTGTCTGACTCTCTGTCCTGTTAGTTAGATTGAAGGCCAAGTTCAAACTTGATCACACTTATTATCGGTGGCGAAAAAACTATTCGGGTTCTACTCCTGAATGTAAATATACCAATACAATTATGTAAAAATACACCATCACAAGTTAGCCATCCATCTAAAACCCTACCTAAGTAAAAGTGCTGAAATAATATCACCTAAATGTACATCAAGTATGACAGTAAAGGTACTCATTCTGCAGTAAAATGCCCTCTGTAATTGATGTATTATTTTCTGATTACATTATGGACCCCTTTCTTTGCTCTGTTAGTAATATGGTTTGTCATTTAGTCTGGTGGTTGCCAACAAAGGTCAGGCCCACAGATAAATATGAGGTGCTGAGATAACCAATCAGAAAAAATCATTTTTGATACAAAATTCATTTTAATATGCCGGACCGTTCTCTAATGTTTGCATGCTTGTGAAATATTAGAGTGATTTCCCTCTGTGGGCCTCAAACTGTTATTTAAATGTCTTTTTGCTTTAATGTCTCTGTGGGGGGACAGCTAAGAGCTCACAGTCTGTGAGACTTTATGGGGCCCTTACCTCACACCAAGGGGCCACAAGCCTAAGTGTTGGAAAACACCAGTTTCATGTTTAAAATTGATTTGTATTTTATAAAGTTGTCATGTTTTTCCTGTAAATTCTTAACCTGAAAAGTAAGTAGTAACTGCAGTTGTCAACTAAATGTAATGGAGAAACTAGTTCCCTCTGAAATTATTAGTTTATCGGCTACTGGGTGGACTTTGGTGACCTCTGAGCAGGTCTACCCCGCCACAGGTGAAAACACCTGTGTAGGTACGCGGGGCATAGCCGACCCGGAAGTACGAGATTTGTTTAATACACAGGTGAAATACACGGAGTTGTGCAATCAGCGGCTTTGTGCCTGGGACGTCACTTCCCATGGAGGTCCAAACGTCCTCCATCTGGGCAGCAGGCTGCAGTCGGAGGCGGTCTGGAGTTTACGTGGGGGGTTTGCCAGCGCGGTTGAGCAGAGTTTGAACCGATGTGGCGCAGAGTGACGTCACATCTGGGTGTTTTTAGTCCGAGTCGCTAAAAAGTTACAACCCAATAAATTCCGCCGCAGACAGGAGAAGAAACACCTGGAGTGATGCGCAAAATCAGTTGCAGCCACTCCGACTTTCCGACTTTGTGACTTTGAAAGATGTTTCGAAGACGGCCTGAACTATTCTTTCTACTTCTGGAGATCGAGTGAACTCTTCTACTCAGCTACCCTGAAGATTGTAGAGGCAACCTCGGGTTGATCCCAGGGTGGAGGGGATGAGTGCTCGGGATGGGACTTTGCCTCGGTTCCGAAGTTACAGAGGAGGAGAAGAAGAAGAGGGTTCACAGCGCCAGGATAGACAGGGACTTGTACGAATACGCCAAACAGGAGATGAACGTGGTGAAAATACTTCTACTAGGTGAGACTGGCCATGGTAATATGTACTAACCTTGAACTCATCTGTAGGCTAAGGTGTTTGACTATGCTACTGTTATGTACCTGCTTGTGTACAATACAATACACGAGGTGATTAAAAACCTACAGCTACCTTTGTCCCTGACTGGATATTTTTCTAGTGAGTGACGCCTGATAAAATCCTCTGCTTTACCTGGGAACTCTCATAAACACATGAAAATCACAAGGATGTCGACTTTACCACTGTGTTTTGTTGGGACACTCCCAAATCCTACTCTGACCTAGTGTTCACCTGAACCCACTGCAGATTCAATGACCAGACTATGTTTTATTTCTAGTAGCTTTATGGTCAAGAAGAGGCCAAGGCGTAACCATTGTCCATAACCTCCTCCAGGTGCAGCAGAGAGCGGCAAGAGCACTTTGGTCAAACAGATGAAGATCATTCATAGTAATGGTTTCACCAAGCAGGAGCTGATGAGCTTTAAGGTTGGACACACACACACACACACACTTCAGCCTGTGTGTATTTTATCAGTGGGCTTGGTGCCCTCGTATCTTATACATAGAGCAGTAGGCTACAAAATCAATCAGTAGATTGATTTAATAGACCAATATGACATATATTTACATTAGAGCTATTATTGTAGTTTAGCTGCAGATAAGAACCTGATTCCAGTAGAAGAAGTTGGGAGGTGAGTCTGTGCTGCAGGCACAGCGAGAGATAAGATGGGGAAGTGGTGCTGGAGATGAGCAGGAGAGATGGGAGACAAGGCAAGTGTTAGTTCCTGTGGGGGTCAGATTTTTTCATGATGCTCACAGTCAGATCCAAGCTGGTATGCAGTGGTTTGGCTCACTTCTGCTCTTCCTTGTGTGTGTGTGTGTGTGTGTGTGTGTGTGTGTTGTCAGTGACTGAAAGCCACATTCCTCTGTTGTACTAGTGGTTTGGATGGGATAGGGAAATGGGAATGGTTCAACACACACACACCAGTTCCACCCCTTGTTTTTACTCTCCTCTTTCTCCTTTTCTATCCTGTTTTTCTCTCCTCGCCTCCTCCTTTGTGTAGTACATAAACCTAATGAATATGTCATGACAGAAAGGGTCTTTCTCCGTCTTCATCATGCTTCAGATACCTGCTCTGCCATCTGCATCTGAAAGGAAGTCGAAGCAAACTTTAGAGATACAGATGATGAAGTTTAAACTCATTTAAAACAATTCAGACTATATAAACAAAAACATACTCCAAAGTTAAGCTTCAGGAGTTCATACTGAACCAACACTGATTTTAATATTATTTATAAAAGAGGAATCTTTGCACAGAAAGTTTGTGTTTGTGTGTGTAATCATCTTGTACACAACAGATAATAACTGTGTTCTGGAAATATGCAAAACACTGTAAAACTTTGTCCTGTGGCAGTTGCTCATTGCACCCACACACTGATATGACGTATGAAAGTCCCAGTTGTTTGTTCAGGCAGCCGTGATATTTGAAGGCATTCCTAGATATTTAAGACGTCTCGGTTTCTTCTCTGCACTCCTCTTTCCTCGTGCTGCCTCTCATGTCTCATAACAGGCACCTTGTGCATAGTTCACTCTTGTCAACACAAGCATCATATTCGGTTTTATTGCACCGTGCTGGTGAAGAAGACTATGAGAAGGGCGTTTTAGACCCAGTACTGAACTGCAGTACGTTTTGGTATCCTGAGATGTCTGTAGCAGAGAGTACCAAAAACTGTCGAGCGCTAAAGGTTGTCTTGGCTGATCACAGATTTCCCAATTTAAATCAAAATATTGATCATTTAAGTGGTTAAAGCTGCTTGTGTTCACAGAATTGAATGTTTTGATAAATTACTATGCAGAGGTGGCAAGTAACTAAGTACATGTACTCAAGTACTGTAATTAAGTACAATTTTGAGGTATCTGTACTTGAGTATTGATTTGATTGATTAAAGTATTGATTTGATATTGGTACCGAAGCTCAGGCACTATATTACCAAGTATTAAACAAGAGTCTGCAGGCTGCTAGTGTTTCTGCGAGGCTGTTGTAAATGAGCTAAAGACAAAGGTCAGCATGCTAACATAACACAGTTCTCATGTTCAGCACCTTGTGCTGGATTCACACAATGTCGCCTGAATGGGAAGAACAGGAAGAGCATCAAAAGTGGCTAGCTTGTAGCGCCAACCTTCCTGTCACACCAGATAAGTAGCTGAAATTGTATTTGTTGAAGTTTGTTACCAATGGAAATCTGCTCAGTTCCTAAAAATTGCTGAATGGATTGTTTTAGTGTTACTTTTGGACTTTATTTTGATGGTAACATTTAGCTGCCGTTACACCAGTGGTTTGTTGACTCATCTTGAGTTCTTTTCACCAAGTAGGAGATAATGTCACTGTCAAAGTTATTATAATTTATCCACCTGGGAACGTGAAAGTTTATACAAAATGTCATGACAAGCCATAGTTGTTGAGACCAAAGTGGTGGACTGACTGACTGACAGACCAGGGTTTCCTGCAACACTTTAACATGGTCGCACACAGAAAAATAAGATCGGAAGTGAAATAAAGAAGAATAAGGATTACCTAGCATTTATAACGATGTACACAGTATATATAATGATAAGTTACATGTGCAAGCATGCACAGATGGAACAAGCAATGCTTAAATCCAGCAGTAGATCTCTTTTGTTTTCTCTGCTGTCTGTTGGGTTTGCCTTTGTTCTCAGGTGACACCCACATTTTTTCAAGCAGAAAAATACACACACACACACACACACAAACCTGCCCTTCCCTTCCCTTCCCTGACCGTCCTAACCTCCCACAGCAAACGTAGGCACACCCTCCCATCTCCTGCGTGCACACGCACAGTCACACATATTTGAGCTTGTTGTTTTTTATCAGGTTTGTGTGCATGTCTATCAGTGTGGTAGTAAGCAGTTCAGCCCTGCCTTGAACCCGACAGGTTATCCCTGCTTCGATCTCTCTTCGTGTTCCCTTAAATTTCCCCAAAAGGCACAATTAGAGCCGCGTCTCTTTAGGACTCTGTCTTTCTTTCTTTGTGGCACTGACAGCCAGGCTTATATTGCATTAGGACCACGACAGGGCAGCCTGCTAGGGAGGAATATGAGGAGGAAGGGGCTCCTCTTTGTCTCATAACTCTTTATTTGCAGCCCGAGGCCGTGGTGTTGTTTTTACTGTGGATAGACTGATGCACTGAGATTTTCTCATTCACTGTCCTCCACTACACACAATCGTGTGTCAACAAAACCGGTGCTTCTTGTGTTTGTGTGCATATGTTGGTACGGCAGTTGTTAGCATTTATAGACTGTGATTTTCAGCCTCAAATGTCTTTGATGATTCAGATGTATGATTATTTGTCTGAAAGGTAAGATGTAAAAAAAAAATGCTATAAATCTGGGAAATTTCTCATCTGGGAGGACGGTGCGATTTTGGTTGGTCTGGAGCTTAAAACCTACAGCCTCACTCTGGTACGTAGTTCTACACTGTTACAGAACTGCCTGTGGTTAATGATTAAATATAGGGCCTCCACCAGTTCAGCTGCATTCTTTGATGCTGTGGTTTTGTAGCAGTGCTCTGACACAGGACAGCTGCTAACGGCTGAAAAAAAAGGGAGCCAAGCTGGACAAAACTGGAGTGTAGCTAGATGGATTTAGAGATTACACTGTTGTAATGAGAGTTATCAAATGTCTCCACTGTTGCACAATGTACCACAAAGTTCCCACAATGCTTTAAACAAAGATTGGAGAGGTGTGAGAATTCCAGTCTGTTGGACTTCCTGATGGTGAACACAGGGTGTGTTGTTACTTCATGCTTCTTCAGAGAAGTGACATGTAGCTGCTGTTGGATTCAGATTACCGTACGATGACACACCTGTGGCTCCGTTCTCTGCGCGCATGTGTCTGCATTAGTTAGTGTTTGTCTGTGCATTTAGTTGTTGGTTTGTCATTAGCTAAGATGTAACTTTCTTGCTAAATGGCGCTAAAAGTTTGTTCCACGTGCACAAAGTGTCTGATGTTGTTTGAACGCGACCTCCCGCCTCCTTTTGTGCCTCCCACCTTCCATGTCAACACTAAACTAAAGTAAGCCTTGAGGGAGAGAGGGAGGGACCTGGAAATGATTTGTTAAGATGAACAAAGGTGGAGGGAGGGAAGGAAGAAGAAGAAACTAACTAAAAATAGAGAAGTGGGTAGAAATACTGGATTAGTGTATGTGCCATGTAGGGAGCTGAAGACGACACGGAGGTGAAGGGGGCAACAGGCCTACAAGAAATACTGCCTTTGTGATGCTTATGAAGCTGTAATCTTTTGAGTCTGTCAGAAAGTTGTTGCTATAACTCTAGGCTCATTTCTTAATTCCTAATGTTTAATGTTGTGTAACTGTATTTCATTATGTTGACTTTTAGGTTCTTTTGATTGAGGTATTTTGTACTTGAGTTCATTGTGCACATAAATATATGTAAAATAGGTTCAAGGGTCAGCGAGGCCAGATAACTCCTCTGTACTGTAAATGGCATGCTCTAAGAGTTGGGCCCCACGAGGCTCAGCTTGGTGACAATCACCTAACTATTCACTAAAACACCTCATGGCCCTTGAGGCTTAGCAAGTGTTTTCATAAAACATTTTCAGAGCCAATTCTTTGAATAATTTAAACACGCATGGTTTAAAACCTCTTCCTTTACATCAGCTAGCACTCTTCATTTTGTTATAACCTGGCTCAAAGACCATGACAAAGAGGGAGAAGACATGGTTAAAATGCTCAAAATAACATATTTTATTAAGCCAAAATAAAAAAATGCAACAGATAATAAAAAGAGCATGAGTAAAATCAGTGATATAGGATGTTCAAATCGACATGGCGTACGAGTGTTGTGCAGTGCATAAATAAAAGGAAAACAACGGAGGAGTCTAAGGCAGCGCACAGCAGCCCAGGTCCTGCAGGGAGAGAGGGGACGTACTAGGCTGAGAGCACCGGGGCCCAGGTGCACCCAGATCACGGATCTACCTGACACCAGGTGACATCAGCTGTCAGAACACAGAGACTGACAACAGGGGTCGCCACACATCGGGAACACTGGGAAAGCATGCTGGGATTGTGGGCCGCATTGCCTGTTTTCATGCACGTGGGTCCTCATTCAGACACCTTTCATACTGGCATACCTTTAGTGGTTTATGGTAATAAAACAGAAGCCATACCATAAAGATCCAGTATTTATTGTTCTCCAGACTACCACAGTGTGTTGTTATTATTTTGTAACGTATTTGAGGATGACGGTGCTGGTGAGGCAGAGGCAAACAAATGCACAGAGCGGCTTATTTCTGACACAAATCAATGCAGCTCTGTCAGCGGAGGTTCTGCTAAACTGACTTAATTTGTCCCTAACGCTGTGGTGTCGGCGGCTCTCAGCCTGACTCTGTAAAATGAAGCCTTGTCACCTCACACACTTATCTCACCTCACACATTTCATGGGAAGCGCAGCACATCTCAATTTGGACTCTGAAACACACAGAGGGAGAAGCACGACCGGACTGTGATCAAATCGTGATGGAATGTGAGGCTTATCTTTTGCTTGCAGCAGAGTGACAGAGACTAGAACACACACACACACACACACACACACACACTTCCCAACTCTCTGCAGGAGTCACTCTGTTCAGTCACTTAAGTCTCCGGGTTTTAAGCACTAAACCGGAGTTATGAGTTTCATTTATGTGATAGACACATTACTTTCAGAGTAGCTGATCCATGGGGTGGATCATGCAACTCCTACACTATAAACTATGAGGTGCATGATTACCACAAACTCTCAGAGAATTATCATAAAGCCCTGCAGTTCCCCTCAGCTTTTTGGAGCAGGTACGCATTTTTAAACTTGTTTTGGTTCATTCCTCGAAAAGCATCATTTTCAGCCACATCAGGTGCTGCTGTCACTGCAGAAGCTCCTTGAGCCCACTATACGCTACCTGCTCATCTCCAAACAGCAGACAAAGCAAATAGCTGATGAACATAGTGTAGAAATTAGCAACTCAGGAGCCAAATGTGTCCCTCAGGAGTGGGTCATATATTTCGTCATTGAAGATTTCTTAAAAATAGTGTTAAAATGTCGTTTTGTCTTGTTCTCGTGAACCCGATTATTTTGTATTGTGTTGTCTCGTGAGCTAAGTGCATTGTCACACCTCTAAACACAACAGTGTTGTATGTAGCTTCATTAGGAAGTGTAAGGTTTCAGTGACTCATGGTATTACGTGTATTTTGACCAGACTGTGGATTTAACATGTTTTGGTGCATTGTGTCTAATCAGTCTTTTGACTGAATTTTTGTTTAGTCCCACTGCCATGACTGTTCATGAGTATGACCTCTGAACTTTGTTCTTTGGCAGCCTGCAGTACTGGACAACCTCCTGACCTCCATGAAGTTTGTTCTTCATGGCATGGGCATCCTCCGGATCAACCTGTCCAACAGTAGGAACAAGGTCTGTCCACATGTTTCTACTAATTGTATTCCTCTGCCTGTCGGCTTTCTCTTTCACATCCTACTATTCCCCTGTTCAGATGCTGTATATCCAGTTGTATGTAGCTGGTTTGCCTGCACTGCACCCAGGTCTCCAGTAGAGAGCAGCATCTCAGCACTGCAGCTACAACAGCTGCATCTGGCACCGCACACACAAACACAGAAATACACACAGAGCAGCAGTTTGTTTACATGAAGGACAGCAGCTGGTGGGCGGTTTGATTGTGATTTGAACTTTATTGTCAGTTATCTCATACACTATCTGCCCAATCAGCACATCCTGCTGGGATATGATGACCAAAGTATTTCCTGTATTAAATGTCACCAGGGTGTGTATGTGTGTTTGTGTCCATTCATTTGTGCATCTATACCGATTAGCATGTCTGGAGCACAGACAGACTCATAAACTTTTGTGTC